TTGACGTTTTTGATTGTTTATTGCATGTAAATACACTGCGATTACGATTAGATACGTCACTATATTTAGGGTTACTTGTGTGAGGAAAAATTTACCCTAAAACTAGTTATAAAATTAGAAATAAGTACGAAAAGAAAGCCTGCAAAGGGACACTGCTATTATCGATTATTATCAATATACGTATATGCGGAGGAGAAAACATGCTGCCAAACTCAAATCAATTGAAATGAGGGCAGGAGGGTTAGGATGGATGATGATAATGTGTTTATTAATTATAAGATTTCATTGGTTATTGTCCTTTAAACAAAATATGCTTCATATGAAGGTTTCTAATTTTTTGCTTGGGTTCAAATGCTTTTGTTGCGTGATGTATACGCAGTTCAAAATATTGCATGGAAATTACCTTAATAAATAAAACTTTGTGGTTTCCAATAAAAGTTTGACTTTCAAATTGATTCGTCGTATATACATACTGGCATCGTTTGAAAGTTGTTGAAATAAGTTTCGGGAATAAATATTTTTCTCCAAAGAGTTACACTTCTTCATGTGAATGAATCTTAAATATTCTTTCTGCCAACGTACATACTTTAATAACATCGCATGAAGGATAAATACCCACTACCACCTTAATATTTTTTTACATATAAGACCTAAATATTTGTCGCTAATAAGAGCTAGCAGACAATCTTCACATTTCAAAGTTTTTCTTAATTTCCTAACTACAAACCCACCGATATATGAAAAAATTTCTTCATTATATGTGTTCAATTTTAAGGGGTTAAAAATATAATCGTGATCATCGTCGATAAAGAAATTATTATTAGGGTAAATCTATAATCAATTCTTGAGATCTTGAGTGCAGTACATATTAATTTTTTAATAAGTCTCTATTAGCAGGGTCAACATATTTCAATAAATCCCCATCTTCTTCACTTATCAAATACTTTCTCTTAAGTTCTGATATAATATTTTCTAGTTTAGCTACATTTTTTGATAAACGCCTACTTTTTTCTCGAAGAGTCTTTAATTTTTTCAGTCGTTCGGATGATAGTTTTTCCGAGTGTTTCCATTTCTTTCGTAACATTCAAGAAGTGTACTTTGGAGTCTTATCCTAAAACTCAAAAAAAAAACCTTTAATAACCATAGCTTTGTTACTACAGACACAATATTTTCTGATCGTAATACTTAGTATTGGTGCTTATTTAGGAATTGGAGGGTTCACTATTTCAACTGGCTTTTGACCACCAGTCGAAGGCAGTAGGTCAACAGCAGGATCAATTTGAAAACAAGTGATTTGTATGTTAAATCTGCCATACTTTTGGTTCCATAACATCCCTTGATCAAACGGCTTGATAATGAATAAATGTAATAAGATTATAACGAAGGTTATTTATTTTAATACTGTAGAATACATTGCAAATACCGTATGTATTGGGTCGACATTGTTTACTTACTTGAATGCTTAAATTATTTTCTATTTCCAAAGGTATTTTTTCATGTAAACTGGTGGAGGAAGACGACGAATTAAAGGCATTTGTTTCCTATAAAAAACTTAATTATCTTTAAACAAAAATTTATACAAAATAGGTGTAGGAAGGTGCTTTTTACAGAAAATTGAATTTAAAGTTCTTGGTATTTCAAACTCTGGACGAGTTTCAAGTTTTAATATTGATTATTAAAAATTGAATCGCATTCAGAGTCTAAGAGAAACCTGTCTCAGTAATTTATTGCTAATAAAATGCATAAAATAATGTTTGTAACTTACCCGATAAAATGTACTAAATAGTTGTAAAAACACTAAACGTATATAAAATCTTATAAAACCTGGATTGAAACTTAATATATCATTAACTGAATAGGTACAACATTAGGTGATAGCAGATTAAGTTTCTTATTTTTTATTAACATTTTACCCTTTAAATGTCTGCTGCAAACTTTTGATGACGGTTTTGGTGTCCAGTCTGTTCGTCCTGTAGCTACAATCCAATTTCGACGTAAATTGTCTTGTTCAGGAAAACTGCAACAAGCCATTTGAAATCTTTCAAATATTTAATTAATAGACAATGCAGAATACATATTATTATTTCCTATAATAGAGGGTAATAATTTATAGAAAAGTTGGCAACACCAAAGATTTTAGGTTGAAATTTACAATTGTTATTTTTGCGCTTTTTTAACGATAAATTTACGTCTAGAATATATTATACATAATGTATGAATTTTATAAAACGTTACAGAATGCCTAGTAACCGATAGAGTGGTATACTTACGAATGAAAAGACACCCCTGGCATATTCCTTCCACTATCACTTTTACGCCCTAAAACAAAACACCACACCATGTTGTTTAAAAAAAATGGTTAGAATACTAAGTCTAAATTGTTCACAACAAAATATAATACGAAATTCATAACATAAAGCACGTACAACTGTATTTTATAAAAAGGCTATATCCCGCTACCCATTAGCTGTCAACTTTGTTTAGCAAAGTAGTATGTTAACCTTGAAAAACTTGGCACGCTCAGCGAAACAAAAAATCTTATCGTCCTATTTCATTTCTTTATATGACAGCGGCGTAAGTTTCTCTTTCTCTTGTGTAACTGCGACAATAGATATCAATTTGTTTTAACATTCTCTGTCTATGGTGTAAATACTTAGATATTTTTTCAAAATTATGTGGGAATAGGCAGCAAGGGAAAAACAATTAATTTTAATATCAATTTACGTACAATAATTTTAAGACGACAACCGACAACGACACCATAGAATAATAAAGCGAAAGTAGTGACTAAGCTGTGTCATTACATTACACACTTGGCAATTAAATTTGATACACCATAATGATATTTTTAGATGATCGACGCGTTTAGGAATTCTGAATTAATCAAAATTTTAAATCCTTATTAGGAGATGCGAGATTTAGTTGATATTGATTTCACAAGTTCTTTTTTATTGATTATTGGTTCATTGACATCGATGTGTCGATGTTTGACATGTGGCAACATCGATGTTTTAAACATCGATCTTTTTATTTTTAACATCATCGAACATCCCTACTATGTATCTATGGTGGTGTCTAGTGTCTACTGTCCTACTGTCATACTGGCTATTGTTGCATACAGCGTTGCCATATATACAGATTTCTCCGTGTTTATACAGATTTTCGGTGTGTAATACAGATTAGCACTGGGTACAAATTTTATACAGGCTAATCTAGTTCTATTGATTAAACTAACATAATATTCAACTTAAAACAGAATTAAGAAAGCTATATGACTAGATACCGCGTTACACGTATAATTGCATGATTCTATTATTTATGGTTAATTTATTTTTTCACAGCGTAATTAGTTAGTATGGCAGCATTACAAGTGTCACTCGCTCTGCTCGGGAAATCCCCAAAAGATTTGCGTGCTGTCCAAGGTACTTCGCTGTCGCATTCGTTGCGTCGTGTGTGCGTAGGTAATACGTAAATATTTAAAAACGTTGATGCACTTTTATTAAGTATATATAATATTGTGATTTTGTTTTGTGAACCATTATGGCATCTAAAAAACCGAGAGTGATGCAAAAGTTTAATCGGAACTGGATGGAAGATTCTTCCTATAAGGCGTGGTTAAGACCTAGTTATAAAGGTGATTACTTTGCTTTTTGTACATTTTGTAACACAGATCTTTCAATTGGAAGTGCTGGGAAGAATGATCTTTTCAGACACACGAAAACAAACAAACACGTAAATTCAAGTCCTGGTGGATCTAGCTCGCAAACATTAATGACAGATTTATTTTCAAACAAGAATATTGAACCAGTCAAAAGAGGAGAAATTTTGCTCGCAGCGTTTATAGCTGAACATAATATTCCCATGAACGTTATGGAACACTTGCCACAATTAATAAAAAACATGTGTCCCGATTCACAAATTGCAAAAAGTATTAGTTGTGACAGAACAAAAACTACAGCTATTGTAAAAATGTGACTGGTATAACTGCAAAACAAATTACAATAGAAAAGTTACAAAAACTTAAATTTTCCTTAATCGTCGATGAAAGCATAGATGTGTTAAGCATGCATATTAGCACGTTTTTTTGAAAGAAAAGTTGAGGATGCATATCTTTGTCTCATACCCCTTGAAGAGGCTACTGCTGAAAAGCTATAACAACATATTAAAAAAGTTTTGAGTAACAATAACATCCTAATGGAAAATCTTATCGGATTTGCCGCTGATGGTGCGAATGCCATGATGGAACGGCACAACTCATTGTCATCCCGTCTAGTTGCCGATAACCCTCACCTGTTTGTATTGAAGTGTGTATGCCACTCTTTCCATCTCTGTGCATCGTATGCCTGTTTAAAATTGTCAAGAGAGCCCGAAACTCTCATACGAGACATTTATAATTATTTTCATAACAGCCCCAAAAGAACAGGAATTCTAAAAGAGTTTCAGCAGTTCTTAGATCTAAAACCTTATAAAATCCTCCATCCCGCTCAAACTCGATGGCTTTCGCTGAGAGCAGCAGTTTGCCGTATTCTAGAACAGTATGGCGCACTAAAATTATATTTCACTGAAACCGCTCTTACGGACCACTTGAATGCTGATTCGATATTGTTCAGATTAAAAAAATCCATATAATAAGCTATATTTAGAGTTTTTGGATATTTCTTTAGAGATATTTAATAACATTAATAAGCTGATGCGGTCAGAGCGGCCGCAAATTCATAAAATGCATGAAAACATGTTGACTGTTTTTAAAACTTTACTGGAATGTTACATGGACGATGGATACGTTTCGCGAACTGAAGTCGGTTTAATTCAGATTGACAATCCACGTCATTACAAATCAATAGATGACCTTTACCTAGGAGCAAAGGTTTCAGCCTCCCTTGTCTCTACGAGTTCAAACGCTCTACACCAAGAAGATATTGAAGCATTCAAACTCAAATGCCTTGACTTTTTTATTGAAGGGGCAAAGCAGGTAAAAAAGGTACAATTTAAGCAATGATATGTTTAAACAAATGCAGTTTCTTGACCCACAAGCTGTCAAGTCTCGTAGAATTGATTCATTGGTCCCTTTGGCAGTAAAGTTTCCAAATTTGATCTCAGTTGATGAACTGCAACAACTAGACACAGAGTGGCGGTTTTTGCGTAATAATAAAGATTTGGCGCCCGATGAAGCAGAAGATCTCGAAACCTACTGGTGTAAAGTCACTGCAGCCCGTGATCCTGTTAACGACAGCAATCAATTATATCCCACGCTGTCGAAATTTGTTTCTGCAATCTTAAGTCTACCTCATTCCAGTGCCGCCGTAGAGAGGATCTTCTCATCTATAAATTTAATAAAGACAAAACAACGCAATAGACTTAATACAGATACTATTAGGTCTTTTACATACAAAGCAACTGATTGGTACAAAACCTTGCTATAGCCTAGAGGTTGATAATGAATTACTGTTGAAATTTAACAAAAATATGTATGACTGAAAATAATAAATTAATTATTAGTTCGTTTGTTGCAAATGTTTGAGTTTTAGTACATTGTTTGTTTAAGTAAGGTTTTCAGTTTTGTTATATAAAATTTTTTGTGTATAGTTTTATTTAATCCTATACCTTTAAACGAGCAATTCTTGTATATATATATATATATATATATATATATATATATATATATATATATATATATATAATAATGTCTTTATTTGCATAAAACATGGTAATTATACAGGTGTTTCAGAGTCTTATTATGCCCACATGTTTTGCTATTTTAATATAATATAGCATGCAAATTACATTTAAATCAAGATAACCTATATAGTATTTTACATTAACAAATTAAACATGTTTATTTAAATTATAATTATGTTTTACAATGTCAAAATCTAGTTTAAAATGTCAGAAATTCATTAGTGTCATAAATATTTTTGTCAATTAACCAATGGTACAATCTTTTTTTAAATACGTTCATATTATTTAGTGTTTTAATTTCATCAGGTATTTTGTTGTATATACGACACACATTGATAAACAGCATTTACTATATTTAGCTGACTTCGGAACTTCGCTTAGAACCAATCTATTTGGATTTCTTTTAAGCCTAGGATTAATATCAGATGACTTTTTAAATAAATATGTATGCTGTTTTACAAATTTACCTATCTCAAAAATATATAACGAGGGCATAGTTAGTAAAGACAGATTCCTGAACATTGGCTTACAGGATTCTCTAGTTGGTATACTACATATCGTCCTTATACACTTCTTTTGTGCGATAAATGCCCTACGCCAATCTATGCTATTGCCCCACATTATTATACCATATCGAAGTATAGATTCAATATACGCCCGATAGCATAATAGGGCCGTTTTTTTATTAGTTACCTTTTTTTATGGTACGTAGTGCATACACAAAACGATTAATTCTATGACATAGGTCATCCATATGTATTTTCCAGTCTAAATTTCGATCTATAATTACACCAAGAAATTTAATTTGTTCTATTTCCTTAATTTTATTGATATTTAGACAAGAATTAGTTTTTATTTTATTAAAATGTATGTAATTTGATTTATCTAGGTTTATTTTCATATTGTTTCCGATTATATATATATATATATATATATATATATATATATATATATATATATATATATATATATATATATATATATAATCGGAATCTCGGAAACGGCTCCAACGATTTTCATAAAATTTTGTGTGCAGAGAGTTTCGGAGGCAATAATCAATCTAGCTAGTATTTATTTTTAGAAAATGTCTTTTTGTCCGTGTTTTTAGGCAATGAAAAACTGCTACAATATCGTTAGAATAAGAAGGTAAATTTTGACAGTTTATTAATGATTACAAATAGCTTAATTGGTATATTGGGCGGTCACAAAATCGTAATACCGTGCTTCGAGCCCAGACCGACCGACCGACTTTTTTTAATGTTTTTTTTCAAGTTCCTTTCTTTTATGAGAAAATCTGTTTTTTTGAGCCCTTTTTTTTAGTATTTTTTAAAAACACGAAAATTTAAATTAAACTAATTGCACTCATGATTTTTTATTCAAGTAACCAGTCCAGTTTTTTCTATTACGTCGCTAAGATCAAAAAATATTATTCGTATTTCATCAGTATGTAATTTGTATCTAAATATAATTTCCAAAACACATGAATTGAAAAATACCGAGCAAAGCTCGGTCAACCGGGTACTAAAGATAATCAAAACTTATAACGTTAGTACTTATCCCTTGTTTTCGAGAGAAGCAATCACGATGATAACCAATAATTCGATTTTGGTTTATTTGAATAAACAGATTTTATACAGATTTTAAGTTAAAATGGCATACAGATTTAATACAGATTTTAGCAGTTTCTAATACAGATAAAACGTTCAAGGCATCTGGCAACACTGGTTGCATAGATTACTGTGGTCTATTGTCTATTGTGATTGATAGCACCAAGCCCAGGATTTATTTAAAAATTAATTAATTAATTTAGTAATCTTTTAAAATTGATGAAAAATATTTAGACAGGTAAATTTTATGCATGACGCATGTTATGATATTTCATAAACAAAGACCAAAATATGTTATAACTAAAAAGTTTCGTAAACCAAAGATAGTACTTATTATTACTAAGAGTTGTAAATTCTCATTAATTCAATTTGCAATAAAGTGAAACTGGTTTCAGTTATGAAATCTGCCTTTTTCTTCTTTTTAGTTTTACAATGGCTGAGCTCGCGGCATTACTACAAACTGAAATTCCTGAGGGACGAAACCATTTGACGGACAGTCACACAAATCTTGAGCGAGTAGCAGAATATTGTGAAGCGAATTACTTTCAGTCGGAAAATAAACGACTTGCTCTTGAAAGCACTAAAAATTATACCACACAATCCTTAGCCAGTGTGGCTTATCAAATAAATACTTTAGCATATAACTTTCTACAACTTTTGGAGCTACAAACTATGCAGTTAGCCGAGATGGAAGGTCAGATGAATCATATATCACAAACTGTAGCTATACATAAAGAAAAAGTTGCTAGAAGAGAAATTGGGGTATTAACTGCTAATAAAGTGACTCCTAGGCAATATAAAATAATTGCACCAGCTAATCCAGAAAAGCCAATTAAATATGTTCGAAAGAGCATTGATTATACAGGTAAGTAATTTCTATATTTACAATTTTTTTGGTAGATTAATTTCGGTTTGGCAACGCCGCACATGTTGCAGAACCAAATTTGTTTTTGAGATAGTTCTATGTGAGCGATAAGACAGTTTAAACTTTTTGTTTATTAAATTCTTACTGTTATTACTTGTTACATTTTGTGTTTCTTGTTTTGTTTTAATAATGCCTAATGCGTACGTTTATAGTGCTTGTGAATAGGGCAACATGTTAATGTGCCTTGGATGAGCTAGCATTTCCCATGAGCGAGTGCATTACAAATTTAGTATTTACAATTTTATAACATATTGCTAAATCATTAAGGCGTCAGGATGGAACAAGTGTGTAGTACTGGAGAGTTCATAAGGTGTAAAATCGTAAACCAAGCATCTAACCCTATGGTTGGTTAACATGTGGGCAGGTTTATTTATGGATTTAGATTGGTAAGCTGTTTCATACCTAATTTCTTTAAATTATTTAGTACAAAACTGATCTGAATAGGTATGTAACTGAATACATCAGAATAATTAATATACCTACTAAATAATTTAAGTAAATTTTTCATAATCAAACCAAGTATTTGGTTTACTTAACCGGTGAATTCAAATTAAAGTGCTTAGGTGGAGACTAGCACAGTGGCAAAATATTAGGTTGGGTAAATAAGTTAGGTATTTTGATAAGTGTTGTAAATTATTAAGTATTGGTATGATAGCGGGCTGCGAGCTGCGCACACTTTAGTAGATAAATTACTCATGAGCCGCGCATATTTGGCATCGCGCATACATTGACTCCTATCAGCTGATGTTAGGTATTTGAAGTTCCACTGCTGGTTTTATGTTTAAGTATTTTCATGATTATTGTTGTGAAATTATCATTTCATTTAGCTGTACTAACATGATGGAGCGTGAATAAAGCCAATTAAATATTGTGGAAAATATTGTTTTTTTACCGGGATAGTTTTTATTTTCGTCCAATCATCAAAAATTTCTTTAGATTTAGGACTATCGTCTGTTTTCGTTTTCGGGAGCGTTTCAAAAATACCCTGCAGCATGGCTCTACCGCATAAATAGAAAGTAACTAAAAAAGTTAAACTGTTTATGTTGTCAATATTAATACTTATTAAAAAAACGTAAAATAACGGTATAGCCTTTCTCCTTTCTGATAAGGAAGTTACAGTCTGATAAGGTTTAAGTAAGTTACATAGTTTTATAATTGCTTATTTTGTCACAAATTTGGAAGTGTTATCCTTACCCAGCCACCATACACTATTTTGTTCTCTCTAGCTCATTACTTACGAGGAATAAATTCCAAATGAAAACATTAAATACGATCTTACTGTTGGCATAATGGAGACATGTGATAGAAAATGATGGTCCTTAATATTTGAGAAATATTTTGGTTTAGTATGTTTGTTCAATTTGTTTATTATATTTACACAAGGATGTCTAGTTTCTTAATTTTGAACCTAATATTTAGCAAAAAATTATATCAATACTATTAGTAATCTTAAAAAATGGAGATGTTGACTTTTAACAACTTGACAAGAAAAAAGTTTGAGTGTTCGTTGTTTGTGTTTTTTTAAGCTACTTAGCCTATAACATTTGGTGGTAGGTGCTAAATATTGGTGTAAGAAATCTTTCTAGCGTTGTTGCATTGCCTGCTTTCTTTGCTTCCGTGCATAATTTTATTTATTTGTGAAAGTATAATCGGTACTTGTAACAAAAAAACAATTTTTAAAATTTTGTCTGTCTGTTTGTTTTGTTTAATATCCGAAATGGCTGGACCAGTTTTGACGTCCTGACATCACTGACTATATATGAGACTGATGTTGTAACAACTCATAGCTGATGTTATCAGTAAGTGTAACTCATGCTACTTTTATATCTGAGAAATAACTTGATTTTATATCAACATTGAAGTACTTGTTTTAGTGTTTTCTCTAATAGTTCACACATGCAGACACTTAATACATAATTAAATGACATACGACGAATAATTTAAATGACAAAACAGGAGCAACAATCCATCAATAATGAAGTCCCCATCAAAACTCTTTTAAAGATGCTGACCTCTATACAATATGTAACGTAATTAACGCACACTCTCAGACACCCCAATTAGTATATTATGTTATAATCATAATACATACACTGAATTTTTAGTTAAACATTTTTATGCACTGATTATTTATCAAATTAGTTATACTAATTCCGGAAGAATGTTGTGGTCACAGTACAAATCCACGAACGCAAAGACTTTAACTTGCTTGAAATAAAGTTCATTTTTCTTTATTTTTATTGAATGACAGAATTAGTAATAATACAAATAAAACTGCACTCTTAAAAGTCTTATTGCCTTAAGTTACGGTCCATTTCAGTTTGTTTTGACTGTACAGATTTAGTGTGACCGTAATTTACGTAGTTTTAATTATTTTTGGGATAAAAAATTACCTATATTAAAAATGATAGGAATCGATTCAGTAAACGATTTTGAAGAAACTACTTTCTCAAAGTGCGTTAATTATGTTACATGTTGTATATATAAGAGTGTTCAGTGTTTGAAAAATTTAGATATTATGATATATTGCCACAGACTGACAAAGTAGTGATTGTGAAGTGGATTAATATATTTCCGTTTTTAAGCCACATTCTGTATTTGTATATATAGAGGTCAGTGCACATTGATAAATTGTATATCTTAAACCTCCACATTGTTCTTACAATTTTAAAATATTGTGTTCTTGTACATACTCAAATCCCATCTGGAAATGTTCGCATATTTTAAAAGAAATTGAAAACAATCTTAAAATAGCTATAGAAAAAATTCTAAATTTATCTTTAAATACAACAACCTGGACTCAGGGTACTTTGCCTATTAAATTTGGTGGTATTGGTGTAAGAAATCTTTCTAGCGTTGTTGTATTGCCTGCTTTCCTTGCTTCTGTGCATAATGTCAAAAACTTATATACGAAAATAAATAAAATTGAAGTCTCTGTTTGTAATGTCGAAATCACAGCTTTTTACTAAATGCATATGAAAGTATATACGGTACTTGTAACAAAAAAAAAAACAATTTTTAAAATTTTTGTTCTATTTAATCTCCGAAATGGCTGGACGGGTTTTGATGGACTTTCACTGACAGATACTGATGTTGTAAGAACTGATAGCTGATGTTATAAAGAGTAACTTTGGCTACTTTTATGTCAGAGAATTAGGGTTTCTCACTAAAAAATTTAACACATTAAATCAAATCGTAATAAATTCCATGAGGTCGATGTTGCGGGAAACAGCTAGTGTAACAACTTTAAATAAAAAGTATACCTGTGCTTTGCTGCGGAGGCAAGACAAACGTGGCAAACGCTGTGTCCCGGCTAAAATGTTCCACTGGAAGTTAACCAGCAAAAACAATGGGTTATTCCGTTGGTACGGAGTGTGAATTGTGTTTGTTTCATAATTTCCATAGCAAACAAGATCAGGCCCGCCTTCTAGCTCCTTGTTGTAAGTTAGCTCACAGTTGTTCGGGCTACATACAAATTGATTGCATATACAACATGTAACATAATTAACGCACTTTGAGAAAGTAGTTTGTTCAGAATCGTTTACTGAATCAATTCCTATCATTTTTAATGTAGGTAATTTTTTATCTCAAAAATAATTGAAACTACATAAATTACAGTCACACTAAATCTGTATAGTCAAAACAAACTGAAATGGACCGTAACTTAAAGCAAGAAGACTTTTAAGACTTTTATTTGTATTATTACTAAAAAAAGAAAAATGAACTTTATTTCAAGCACGTTAAAGTCTTTGCGTTCGTGGATTTGTACTGTGACCACAACATTCTTCCGGAATTACTATAACTAATTTGATAAATAATCAGTGCATAAAAATGTTTAACTAAAAATTCGGTGTATGTACATAATACATACATAAGCACTCACGCCTGTCACCCAGAGGGGTAGGCAGAGACTATGGACTTCCATTTGGCACGATCCTGACATACCTCTTTCGCCTCCTTTACATCCATATATCTACGCATACTTGCTCGTCGGTTACGGGTACTTCTAACGTGGCCCCTTTTCAAAATATTGCCAATTTGGTCGATAAACTTTTTTCTAGGGCGTCCCTTCCCGACTCGGCCGTTCACATCTGCCATATAAATTTGCTTTGTCACTCTTTCCTCATTCATTCTTTCTACATGACCAAACCACCGAAGCATTCCTTTCTTAATCCTGGTCACAACATCATCTTGCATACCACATTTATCTCTTATCACGCAATTTCTCATCCTGTCATTCAGATTCAACCCTAGCATACTCCTTAAAGACCGCATTTCTACAGCATTTATTCTACTTTCGTGCTTCTTCTGCCACACCCAGCTTTCACTACCATACATTAAAGTAGGGACTAACACAGCATTATGAATTACCATACGTGCCTTTTTTGACACATTCTGGTTCTTCATAATAGAGTGTAGAGCCCCATTCACTCTATTCCCTGCATTTACGTGTATATATAACGCTCTCAAATACATAAACTCATCCACTTGCTCAATCAACTCTCCTTCCATTCTTATTTCACATACCGTTTTTCTTTCTTCTCTTTCAAAAACCATCACTTTCGTCTTACTTGCGTTCACTTTCATTCCCCTTTCTTTTAATTCCCAGTTCATTAATGTAATCATCATTTGCAACTCAGCCGCCGATGACGCAAATATGACTTGATCATCGGCATACAAAAGGCATTTGACGGTTAACTCGCCCATTCTTAACCCACATTCTTCATCTTTCAAAGTTTGCAAACACCTGTCCATAAATAGGTTGAACAGCCAAGGGGAAGCTACACAGCCCTGTCTGACACCTTTTTGGATGCCAAACCAGTCCGAGTAGACCCCATTGATCCTGACACAAGCACTAGAGTCCCTATAAAGAGACCTTAATGCCTGTATCAAACCAGCGCTCAACCCATATGAGTTCAGTGTTTGCCATAACACATTCCTGTCCACTCTGTCATAAGCCTTTTCCAAGTCCATGAACGCACAAAAAACTTTCTGGTTTTTGGCCAAAAACTTCTCCGCAATCATGCGCATGGAAAAGACTTGATCTGTACACCCCATTCCCTTTCTAAAACCCGCTTGCACATCCCAAATTTTTCTATCAGTTTCTTTCATAACTCTTTCAATTAACACCTTAGCATACAGTTTACCCACAATACTAAGCAAGCTGATAGATACCACGGTAGTTTTTGCAGTCCCGCTGTGACCCTTTTCCTTTATATATTGGTACTATAACTGCTTTACACCAGTCATCCGGTACCCGTTTTAATTCCCAACATAAATTAAACAAGGTGTACAGCAGGCCTGCCACCACTCCCTCTCCAGCCCTTAGCATCTCGAGTGATACTCTATCATATCCAGCTGCCTTACCTGCTTTCATGCTTTTCATTGCTTTCATTATTTCATCTACACTTATCTCCATACCCCTTTCCACTTCTTTCGGAATTTCTAGTTCATTTATTTCAGACGACTCTTCACTCATAAACACGCTTTCAAAGTATTCCTTCCATCTGTTTAAATTCGAAACCTCATCATTCAGAATACATCCATTCTCGTCTCTTATAACATTCATTATAGGCTGTTTTGTATTTCCCCTGGCAGTTCCTACGAGTTTCCAGAACATTTTTATGTTAGCCTGGAAATTATCAGATATCCTTCTATCATTCTTATCCGTTCTTTCTTTCTTTTCCTTTCAACAACTTCTTTTACTCTCTTATTTAGACGTCTAAATTCTGCCTTTTTTCTTTCAATCTCATCATTCATACTAGAAGAATTACCAGCTTTGGTTGCTAGTAAATCTAACCATGCTTTCTTCTTTGATTCAACTTACTACTCATATCCCACCAATAACTTTTCCTTTCATTTGTTCTCTTACTTACACCACATACTTCGGTGGCGGCATCCACCAAACGTTTCTTAATATTATCCCACACAGTATTCAAGTCTAAATCATTCATACACAGCTCATTCAAACATGTAATATTTCCTCTCAGTCTACATTTATACTTCTCTTTCACATCTTCATCTTGTAATTTCTCTATTCTTATACGCTTTAACGCAGTGGTAGACAGAATTAATGATCCGTTCCTACGTTGGACCCCGGTAAACCCTTGTATCTACGACTGCGCTCCTCATTCTTTCATCCACAATTACGAAATCTATCATGCTTCTATCATCACCTCTTTCCCATGTATACATGTGAATCTTCTTATGACGAAAAAGAGTATTCGTCACAACAAAACACAACAAAAGATTATTTTCCACACATACGGTGAGGAGGTCTTCACCATTTTCATTTATACTTTCATCACCAAACGTTCCCAATATCCTTTCATAACCAGACCTCTTCACCCCAACCCTTCTATTAAAGTCTCCTAACATAATAATATTTTCATTTCATCGGTGTATGTATTATGATTATAACATAATATACTAATTGGGGTGTCTGAGGGTGTGCGTTAATTACGTTACATATGGTATACGATTGTTGAATCCATCGAACTTTTTAATCGAGTGGTGTGCTCACGACAATCTCATTACAATTAAACGGTTTGGTGTGTATATGCAGATGGTATCGCGAGTTTTGTCACAATGTGCGATGGTGAAATAGTGCGGCTGCAATTAGTCTGAACAATTCCTCAGAGCACTCGCCGTGGTAAATGCGATAAAATACGCAAAGAGATGCAATATCTCTTTGCAGTGCCAGTGAGTCAAGCCAAAGTCAAAATAACTTAAAAACTCTACTTCAAAACAAACAAATTAAATAAGCAAAATGGCGGATTGTGTCAGCGCTACTGAAGTTAGCAAACGTGTCCTGGCCGAAAACTGTTTAGTTTCGCCATTTTGCTTACAAGCGCTTGCTAGCGCTTTTTTCTACCAAACGCACCCATTGTATCTCGATTTTCAGGGACTTTAAAAAAAGTGGCAACACTTCCACATACGTTATACACCAGTTTTTGCTTTAAACAAGGCGTCATCTTGAGAAACAGACTCGGCTGTGTCTGTCTGCTAAGTTTATTAGTTTCACTGAAATTACTACTTTTATGACATTAATTTTGCATAATATATTAACTTTATTTTAAAGTTCGATAACTTGACTAAGTGAATTTAAATGTCTAGGGAACCTAAGTGGAACAATATTCAATAATTAAAAATCTTCCTTCTTTGTTTAGTAGGTATTGTACTTACATAAAGTATGTAGATAGCAGTGCTAATTTATTAACTGAAATAATCCAGGTACTTAGTAAAAAATAGTGTGAATTTTATAATTTTTTACGGTATGGATTTTGTAAATGTTCTGTTGTACAGCTCTTGATGATATTGGTCATGGTGCGCGGTGGAATGGCGGCTCTAGTGGTACTCCAAGGGGTCGGCGTTCAGTGTCAGCCCAGGGCTCCGCAACATTGCCGGCACCCACTACGAAACCACCCACGCCGCCAGCTGCTATCCGCGCTGCCTCTGCCACTAACACCGGTACACTTGGACGAGGGACACTCGGTAAGTTTGCCTAGGTTACCATTCGTTCCCTTTTATATACAAGATAGGAGACTACTACGTACTTAGTACTACTTAGATAGACACTTAGATAATTTGTTTTCACATGAAACTCCATGTCTCCATCGGCCGGTAAAATCTCTATGGGCCACAGCAAGCACTTACCATCAGGTGGACTGTGTGCTCGCTTGTCACTCTTATTATATAAAAAAAACAACAACAACAAAAGTTAGCACACTAATTGGAGAATTCTTATTGTGACTAAGAAAACGATTCACAGCTGTGGAATAGTTTTTGTCTAGTAATGTTTCGGAAAAAGAGAAATGGACTGTATTTTACATAGACGCTGACTGATTTTAGTCGACACTGTAACTTGACAATATTACTAAGGTCGGACGTATCTGAATATACGAAGGCGGATGCTTCTCCTTTCGTGTACTTCTTCAGAAACCCCAGCAGCACGGAGTCCGGTCACTCACATTTATCCAATTCGAGGAAAACTTGCGGAAGAGCATATATTTGGGAGCAGCGGAAAATGTGCGTTGGCTCACGGCTCGCGGCGTTGTCATTATATCTCTTGGTCACGTGACGAAAAGATGTCCATAATTTTAACGGACCAATAGTAAGCAAGGATTACATCGACCCGCGAAATAAATGGACATTCAAACCAAAGTAACATTGGTGTAACAGTTACGAGTATTCAGAGCAAAATCAAAGAAAACAAACAAATTTTGACCGTTCATTAAACGAGCCGAACCAAGTAATGTACGTAGAGAAGTCTTTGTTTATAAAAGCATTAAAATCTCTATCATTAATTGTATTCAATATACATTTTGAACTGTGTATACAGGCAAATCGTCGCGTGAGTACCGCACCCCGCCCGCGGTGGCGCCTCCGCAAGTGCCCTCGCACTACGCGCCCAACTACCCACGACGACCTCCCGGGTACTCCACGTTGCCGGTAGCACAACCGCAGGTATCAATCATACACTATAATGCTCTAATTAGCTAATAAAAATAACCTCACAGCAACTACCAGTTATATGTCTTTAAAGTAACGATTGGCCGAACATGGATTTCACCGAATAAGAATATACGGCCGAATCTTCGGTAAAACTTTTATAGAACCGAATATTCGGCCGAACTTTATTCGGCGGGATCATCTCGGTAACTAACCAATTTAACTATAAGAACTTGTTGCCGTAAATCACGCGGGATTAGCGCCGAACCCTGCCCCTCGCTCCCCTGCCACATCCGACATATTATTGCATCATCTGGTATTTCTTACGATCACTTTTAGGTTGGGGTGAAATTTCGTGCTTTAATAACAGAAAGCGTTATTAAAATATGTCTGCGTTTTACACACAATGCATCACGCAGTGTCTCCTAGTTATTTGTATGATAAGATAGTTGTTGAAAAAAAGTTTGCTCTTGGTCAGAGAAAAATGTTATCGGTTTCCACTATCTAGAGTAAAATTCGCTGGTGCCAGAGGGTGTTTTAAATTCGCCGTTGTTAAAATCTGAAATGTGTTGCCACCATCAGTCCGGTCCACCCTACCTCCATCCCTTTCGGCAAAGATGCCGCAAGTGGTTGATCCTCCCTGGCTCTAAGACACCATCTCAAATTACTAAACAGTATTTGTATTTTTAGTTTTAGTTTAGTTTTATTTATTTAATTTAATTTTTTGATGAGGATAAAACAATGGACCCGCGTGACCATCACGCTCCATAACATTTATATGAAGGAGATATATACATATATATGAAGTTTTTTCTTCTGACGTGCAGTCTTACGACTGACAGTTTTTATTTGTTAATCGTTAGCTTTATGTTAAGGTGTGTTTCATCACTTGTCTCAGGCCCTATATGGTTTATGCGGCTATGCGCATAGACACTAACTATTGTGGCAGAATAGCTGGAGTAATGGGCTTTTTGTTACAACTAAGTTACAGACCGTTTTTTCACAACTAAGTATTTAGGTGTCTATTTAAATTTTAACCCTGTATTCTTTTATGGCAAGTAAATACTTTTTTATATATTTATTTAAATTTTCTTCTTTTGACTGTGGCAAAATTGTTAAATAGATTTTAGAATCAATTAACTGTGTAGGAAAACTAGTCCGCAAGTGTAGGCACTAACACAGAGTCACGACTAAGTCTTAAGCCAGACATGTCCAATGGTTTCCAATATATAGAGGGAGATAGAGTAGATGACATGTTGTCACAGGCATTTTTCCAGGAATAATGTAAATATGCAAATCATACTAGAATTGACATTGGCAATTGGTTTAGAGTTTTCATATGCCAGTAAAATGTTATAGCTTCCAGTAGTTAGCGAAGTACGCCTGCTAAGCCTGGTAATTAAGGCCGATTCTCCCCACAACGGATGAGGTCTAACCAATGTCCAGCGGTGGATTTTTACGGGCCGATAAAGAAAATGGTTAGTGTTGCTGGAATAAGGCCCGTCACATATTACCATATAAATTTCAACTCTAGTGATCCTCCGTATCCTCAAGTCCGCTTTGTATTTCGTTTGTATAAAAATACAGCTCTTCTATTTTTTGATGAAAACATGTCTTAACGCTAAATGCGATAAGATCAGTAGTAGGCTGCAATTCATTGTAGAAGTCATGAAGATATCCACAACACAACCAGGTCGATGTATCAACCATTTATGTTTTCCTTAATAATACTGAACGCGCGACTCAGTAATCAGATACTCCGACCACAAAGCAATGCAATATTAACGGAATATAAAGCTAGATACATTTTGCAATGAACTACTTATATTTTTGAAATGATTGGTTTGTAGTTGTAATGTAAATTATTTTCAAAGGTTGTAAAAGTAATGTCATATTGGAAAATTTTTTTGGTGATCTACGTACATAAATAACTAATAAAATTAGTGTTTTATTAAAAAATAGGTAACGACGTCACCTTAAATGAAAAATAGGGATTCAAAAATGGTTAATGTGAATACATGTAGTGCATTGTGTTTTGTAAGGTCGGATGTTCGAAAACATTGGTTTTTAAACTGTTGTGTGTTTAGATTTTTTATTTCGAGGCGTTTATTAATATTATTGCACTCTCTTAGGTTGGGATGGTACATCCGAATCAACATCAAATAAACTCTAACTACTCACAGCAAGACCTGCACTCAAGTATGCCACGTAAGTTTCATAAGTGAAATATTTTAAGAACACTTATTTGGATTTAACTCTTCCGTTTTAAGCTTTTATGTATGCTATATTATAATAATAAAAAGTTACAGCCTATACACGCTCCACTGCTGGGCACAGGCCTCCGCTCATTTCTGAGAGGGTTTTAGGGCAAGGAAGTGTCCGCCGCGCTGCCTCAATGCGTGTTGGCGTACTTCACATGTATTCGAAATATTTTTTTCTTGTTTCTCAGATATGCAGGTTTATTCACGATGTTTTTCTTCATCGTCGAGCACGTGTTATAAATCAACACTTAAAATTGCAATTAACAATTTCATTGGTGCCGGCGGGGATCGAACCCGGTTTGATCGCGTATTGTGAAATTTACAGCGAGCGCTAACCATCTGAGCTATCACGGCACTATTTATGAGATTAATTATAATAATAGTTTAGTATAATGCAGTGGAGCCAATGTATGCAATTTATCAATAAATACTGGCAAAGGAACAGTGTCGCGCTTTTGTTATTATAGTTTTTTTTTGTTTCCAATGTATTCCTCTTGTCTTTTTGTGTTTACTTTAATTAAAATGTAGCTGGTGATGACGGCGTAAGAGAATGCGCCGCATTTCATACTTCGACATTCAATAAATAGCGTTATACCAAGTCGTACTTGTACCTAAATGTTAAATATTCAACAGGGAGTGTAGTTCTAAAAGCGAATACGGCGAATCTTACGATAGATGTAAATGCCCAAAGAGAGAATAAGAGTAAGTTTAGGTGAATTATTACATACAATCATTATTAAATACATTCATTCTTTTTGCATTTAATACTGTCATCAGCGTTGCCAACACGAATTTGTCAAAATCCCCAATTTAAGGGATAATAAATCAACAGATTCCTTACAGATTCCCCTCAATTTTATTTTAAGAAATTAAACAAGTTTCAACGAATTTTATAAGATTTATTTAAATTACATTTTTTTTTTCTTTTTTACCGAAAAAATGTCCTTTTTACATATTTTTATAATAAAAGCTTTATGTACTCCATAAAGTGTTTTAATTATTTCCCTTATCGCCATTAAAAAGTACCACAGTATTTATATGTATGCGGTCCTTTGCTTCAAATTTTTTTTAAAAAAGAAATGAAAGAGCATTAAATGATACACAAAAGTTGCCAAAATAAATCCGAAAATTAAGTGTGGTGCAATGAAGATAATTAAAGAGTGTCCTGTTAGTAACCTAACAAAATATGTTAGGATAAGTATTAAGATTTCTTGAAAAATGGTTCTGACTTGGTCCGGACTTTCAAAAAACCTGCATTTACTCCGCATAATACCAATCCTCAAAAAATCCCCGATCAACTTGAGATTCCCCGCAATTTATGAAATTCCTCACCTGTTGGCAACACTGATTGTCATTGCATTATGCATATAAATATGAGTGTAAAAACTTTTGTTGAATTAATAAAATATATAAAAAATATCATTTGCATTTCAGCTCCACCTTCTCCATTGATCGGGTCAGACGGAGAACATAGCCAACATTCAATGAGTCTTCCAGGACAGGTGAGTGCATAATGGGGTACTGGATGTAAATAGTAATATTGATAAAATATTTTGAAATTTATATTAGAATGTTATTTAAAATTATCATCTGCACAGTATATAAATCAGCGCCGCTTTTAATGAGTACTAAGTAGATTGGATTGGTAAGCTTGAAAACAGTGCTAGAAAAAATGGGCAATCACTACGGGACGATGTGACGTGTAACGTGTAACGATTAGGGCAAGTCCTACCTACAATGGGCTTTTTAGGGCTGATTATAAAGAAGACATTGATATTTTGAAAATGGTCTTACAAGAAAGAAAAAAAAAACTAAAAACGTGCAGAAAAACAATTGGAAAGATTTCAGGATTTTTTTTTCAAAAAATCTTATCCAGACCGGTGACGGACAACATCGTCAATGTGCGATATCTGGCAGATTCTCTACCACGGTACAGGCCCATATCCAATGGTGAATTTTGTAAGCTGATGTTGAGGAAGAAAATAATTAGGTAATAGAATATATAACATAAAAAATAACTAAATATATACATAAAAACTCAGTAGGGTTGTTATGTATTTATTCTAAAGGGGATGTCCTTCAATCGGGTAAGGTTAGGACAGGTGGAAACTGTCAGAAATATTACGATGAGGGTGGGATAAAGGTACGTTTTAAGAGTATTATTTCGGGTGACGAAAAAAGGTAAATTAAGTGTGTCGCGTTTAAAATATTTTACCATTGCTAATTAAATTCTTATTTTTTTCTATTTAAGTTTTCTTATAGAATCTAAGTTTATATTATTTTTGGTAAAACAGTTTCTAAAAATATCTGATCTTTTCAATACCAAAATATACACATGATGCTGGGAGAGGACAAAGGAGCGGTAGCCTAAAATCTCATCATGTATATTACCAGGGGGGGGGGGGGGTGTATAAAAGTGTCTTAAAAACCTCACGTGATTAACGGTTGGCTCTTTATGTATGTGTTCTCGCTGGGCGCTGGGTGTACAAGTATTATAGGTTCGCGTTTGTGTGTTTGTGCAGCGCGCGTCGTCGTCTTCGGGCGGCGCGTCGGCTCGCGGCGGGTCTGTGTCGCCGCCGCTACCGCCGCCGCCGCGCGACGACGAGCTGGCGCACGACCGCGCGCTGCACGCCAACGTAACGCGCACACATCTACACACACTCCTGCACACGACTAACACACGCACATGCCTACACACACTCCTGCACACGACGAACACACGCACATGCCTACACACACCTCCTGCACACGACGAACACACGGACATGCCTACACACACTCCTGCACACGACGAACACACGGACATGCCTACACACACTCCTGCACACGACGAACACACGCACATGCCTACACACACTCCTGCACACGACGAACACACGCACGTGCCTACACACACTCCTGTACACGACGAACACACGCACATGCCTACACACACTCCTGTACACGACGAACACACGGACATGCCTACACACACTCCTGCACACGACGAACACACGCACATGCCTACACACACTCCGGCACACGACGAACACACGCACATGCCTACACACACTCCGGCACACACGACGAACACACGCACGTGCCTACACACACTCCGGCACACGACGAACACACGCACATGCCTACACACACTCCTGCACACGACGAACACACGCACATGCCTACACACACTCCTGCACACAACGAACACACGCATATGCCTACACACACTCCTGCACACGACGAACACACGCACATGCCTACACACACTCCTGCACCACGACGAACACACGCACGTGCCTACACACACTCCTGCACACGACGAACACACGCACATGCCTACACACACTCCTGTACACGACGAACACACGCACATGCCTACACACACTCCTGCACACAACGAACACACGCATATGCCTACACACACTCCGGCACACGACGAACACACGCACATGCCTACACACACTCCTGCAACACGACGAACACACGCACGTGCCTACACACACTCCGGCACACGACAAACACACGCACATGCCTACACACACTCCTGCACACGACGAACACACGCACATGCCTACACACACTCCTGCACACGACGAACACACGCACATGCCTACACACACTCCGGCACACGACGAACACACGCACATGCCTACACACACTCCTGCACACGACGAACACACGCACATGCCTACACACACTCTGCACACGACGTACACACGCTAATGCCTACACACACTCTGGCACACGACGAACACACGCACATGCCTGTTACACACACTCCTGCACACGACGAACACATGCACGTGTCTACACACACTCCTGCACACGACGAACACACGCACATGCCTACACACACTCCTGCACACGACGAATACACGCACGTGCCTACACACACTCTGGCACACGACGATCACACGCACATGCCTACACACACTCCTGCACACGACGAACACATTCACATGCCTACACACACTCCGGAACACGACGAACACACGCACATGCCTACACACACGACACACACGCACATGCCTACACACACTCCTGCACACGACAAACACATGCACGTGCCTACACACACTCCTGCACACGACGAACACACGCACATGCCTACACACACTCCTGCACACGACGTACACACGCACGTGCCTACACACACTCTGGCACACGACGAACACACGCACATGCCTACACAAACTACGTAATCCACACACGCTTGATTAGAGGTATGCCTCTAATCAAGCGTGTGTGGATTACGGCATACCCCCTTTCTATAGGAGATTCCTTCCTTGTCCCATAGTGAACTGTGGATGAGTACCAAGAGAAAATATGGAGATGTAGTTACAGCATAAGAGAGTCCACTACACCATATCATCCCGTGGGTAAGAGTCGACAGAGAGAAACCAAAACGAGAAGGGCAGCAGTGTTGTCTAATAATAACTTCTCAAAATAATGTAAGACTGCGGGTGCAAACCTAAGCGTGGAAAATATGAGATAGTCACTGGGGGGAGCGTATGTGACGCATAGGACTTTTGATAAGTTGCTTAATATGAATAAATAAATCCACACAATATACGTTTAGCGTTGCACTAATGATAGATTAATACATGGAATACTATAATACACAATAGAATGGCTGTCAACCTTTTTTGTACGAAGATCGGCGTCGCCGGGAGCACACATACAAGCAATTACGTCGTATTATCACTACTATAAACCCGATTCGCTGTGTTGACAGACTGAGTAAATTTACACACTTTAGACTTTTGATTAATGTTCAAGATCATCATTAATAAAATAGTTTAAGTTTTAATACATATTTATTTGTAAATAGTGTGCTATTCGGCATTTTCTAAATAATTTGCATGTCAAATTTGGAAACGATCGTAACGTCAAAACACATCTGGTGTTGACATTTATATGTGTGAATTGACATGTTAGTGACATTTTAATGGCTACACGGGCTCCGCCCACTCCCCCGTTCTCTTATGTATATATTTATTTATTTTATTTATTTAAAATTTAAATGTAACACCTTTAGTTAAAAGGGTACATAGGGCGTACTTAATGCCATTTGGCATTCTCTGCCAGTCAACCCTGGGTGCCAAGGACAATTGTTGGCAGGTGCGACCATTATACATAAATAAGTGAACATACATACACATCTCACCATATATTACGTACATTTGCTTATAAACATGTATATATATAATATATATGTATATATTATAGTATTTTATGGATTTCAACTACAGCAAATTATGTCTCCACGGCAAATGTACACGTAAATAAAATAGAGACGATGACTTATCATAACTTACAATTGTATTTGGTAAGTACACTAACATGGTCGTCATGAACTACATCAATTACTATGCAATAGTTGAGATACTGTTTTAATGGCTTCATTTGTGTCAATAGAGTCCAGCGATTAAACTTTAAAAAGTAGAACACTTCTTTACATCTGGAAACTTTTTATTTCTTTCCAAATGCTGCGAGGTTTTACATAGACAGCTTTTGGACCTGAGTGACATAGACAAATTTTTAACCCGGAATGCAATGTTCTATAGATCTGGGGCACAATTTTATGATTACCTCTTTATGCTTCCTTAGGTCTTGGAATAAGACATTGACTGTGATTTTTAGAAATTATGTCGTTCTCCCGCCGCACCCGCGGGCAATAACTAGCAACTATTAAAAACGTTTTAATGAAATGTGTTTATCGCTTTAGAATAAAATGAGTGCTTCATACTCAAACGCGGTGCCTGCGATCGTGCCTGATGACGACGATTTACCCGGTTGGGTACCAAAGAACTATATTGAGAAAGGTATATATTACGTCATTAATATCGCGGTGTGATTTCTAGTGTATCTAGATTGGTCGGTACGACGGCGATGCCACTTTGCTTTGTCAGTAAATTTTAGTTTGTCCATAACACTTAGAATGGCATAAGACACATTCCATTTTTAGCGATATTGCCGCAAAGACGGCTATGTAGTTTTCGCCTACATTTTCAATAATTACAGACATGTCTATCCATAAATTGAAGTAAATAATTATAAAATCACCATCGCGTAGCGTCGTATAATTGAGAAATCTATTGTTTAACATGTGATGGACTCCAGCTCTTTCTGCAGAGTGTAGGTTGCATCGTTGTCGTAAACACTAGTCAAGAAATGACTAGTTACTCGTATAACACACAAAGGACAACATTGAGTCATTAACAGCGTTAGTCCCTAGAGGCAAGTTAGCTAGTCAGAGTAGTGCTGACCCGAAATAAATCGATAGACTATTTATAAAGTCAGTGTGTACTTTAACTCCTTTCCCATTTGTAGCACTGATCTTGTCATAAAGTATAATTTATGTGCGATAACGTTTCTTTTTTATATATATATGTCGCAGGTTTATGATAAATCCTGGTTCTTGAACCTAGCTTTTGATGAAAAAACTGATTTTACCATAGACCTGCGACGTATATACTCCCATTTTTTTAATATAAAAGTAGCAACACAAAATAACAAAAATGACATTTTTCGTTGCTACTTTTTGGTACATTTTAATTAATTAAACTTTGTTATATTAAAAAATATTTGTGTGTAAATGGGATGGATAACCCATTTGTAGCACTCACCTTGTGATAACTTATCATCTATGTGTGATAACATATCATTACTGTTTGTCAACTATGTAACTAGGGATGAGGATTTATTTTATAAAAAATACGTTAAAACTGTCTTTTTGACTATTTTCATATATATACTCCATTTTTTTAAATATAAAAGTAGCAACACAAAATGACAAAAATGACCTTTTGTGTTATTTAGTTAAATTGTCACATTTTAGTTTATTTACTTAGTAAATTAACTTAGTTGTTATTAAAAAGAAATTTTTCTTCTGAAAAATCGACGGAAAGGGAAACAAGGACAAACAAGCTTCGATCAATAATACTACTAGATTCCCGATAAGCGCTGCAAAAACGGCCCGAAAAATAAGACCACAAATACCTTTGTGGTCTGATTTCAAATTAGTATGGTCCAATCTTTTATTTTAAGGAACATTGAAATGTAATACCAGGAATAAAATAGACTAAGCACGAAATTGTTAATATAATATTTTAACCTTATCACTTAGAATTTAAGTTTCATTTTAGAATAAATATTTGTGTACTTATGACTTTTTATATTCAAGCGGTATCTTTGTGAATGCCATAACTTAAATAAACATATTTTGCAATGGTATTTAAATTTATGTTTGAGTGATAAGGTTTATAATAAACTGAAGTTGTAATATTTTTAATCTTTTTTCTATATTTCATAGTAAGAAATATAGATGTTTACGTGTATGCAAACGTGGCCACTTGAGTGACTTATTTTTGTTCCTGATCCTTAATCTAGTATAATCATTGATCGAAGCAAACAGCAAAGCACACCTTTGTCTGGCAGGTGGATTTTTCTAATACAGTAAAACTTCGTTATAATTAATCACAGGATTGAACGTAACGTGAATTTACATATGAATATTGAATAAACAGAATTTTTAAATATTTAATAAGAAATAATTTGATACACGGGATTTACGATAAATGTAAAATATTACAACTCAAAAATTAACAAATCATGATCTACTTATTATTGTGTAGCACGATTTTTCATCAGTTTGTATCACTTCCAGTTGTAGCAATTTACGACTATTACGCGGATAAAGAGGACGAGCTCTCGTTCCAAGAGAGCGCTGTGATCTACGTACTGAAGAAGAACGACGACGGCTGGTGGGAAGGCGTGATGGATGGCGTCACTGGCCTTTTCCCTGGGAACTACGTCGAGCCGTGTGTCTAGAATATGAAAGCATGTATTTACTTTCAATTTAATTGTTTACATGTAGCAGCACGAGTCGTGAGCGCAGCTTTGACGTGTATATAGCAATAGTTGATTTATAGGTCTCTGGTGAAGTACAAAGACGCGGGGTGAGTACGGTGAACATCCTTTCACATGATCGGTCCGTTAGTTAATCTTCCTCATCTATTGGATATTTACGTGTCATTCACCTGCAGTATATTGGCAGGTAAATGTACATGTGCAAACACTGTCACTTGACGCTCATGACTCGCGCCACTATCACTCATAACTAGTATAAGAGCCAGTTTATAATCTTACTATTTAGTTACTGTTGAGTTTTTTACTATTTAGTCCAATTTTGCAAATAATTATTGTTCTATGGGTATCTTCCGAAACGTTTTCAGTATACTGCCGAATACAAATGACGTCATCAATTGACACTATATTGTACTGGCGTGCCGCCGCCATATTGTGTCGGATATCCGGCCATAGTAAAAAAAATTAATTGTGTGTGCGCTGAATGAAGCATGCCAGAATTTGTTTTTATTTATTCAAATACAAAAAATTATGGAATAATTGCTGGTATATCTGCATTAGGAGGATATAATGATTTTTGGAGCACAAAATGACAAAATAATCGGCAACACTTTTCCAATATGGCGCAAATGTATGACGTCATATACTGTCGTCTATGTTTTGGAACGAATCACCAGTGTAGCGTAGATTCATGACGTCATTTGCATTGGACAGTATACTGGGTTCTATTTTGGAACATACCCATTACATCCGATACCAATGAAGTGTCAGTAGGAGCGATAATAATATATATGCTTCGATAATTGAATCTATGTAAAGTGTATTATTTTGTTCATTCCGAATTCATTGTAATTTTTATAAAAACATAGTTATAATTGTGTATTAAAATAATAAAATATCTTCTTTATCAGTTATGTGTCCATCTAGCTATAAGTTGGCATCTACATCTAACTGATCCATACAAAACGTTCCAAAGCAATAGTTTTACATTATATTTCTTAAGAACACCTTTGTCGCCTTTATTCACATTGAATTTTATTGAAATTCATTATTTTTTACTTATGAATGTGCAGGAATTGAGTGAATTATAAATATATCATGCGATGGATGTCGTAAGAGGCGAAAGATGGAAACTAAATATATTTTTTATAGGATAGGGTGACATACGAGCACACAGTCCCCCTGATGATAAGTGGTTGCTGTGGCCCATAGACATCTGCATCTATCCTCAAATACGAATCAAAATGCAGATGCGTTGTGTGAGGACTAAGGTGGAATGCCTTGTTTCCAGCAAAAAGGGTCTCCGGTTCTCCATCGGTCGTTCCATACGAAACACAGCTGCGTTAAGCTGCTATTTTACGCTGGTATTCTGTGAGAGCGTGGTCCTTCCCCGGTCGAACCGACCCATTCATACTGCAACTATATTAGGTACTAATATAGCTGCAGCATAGCTCTACCACGTAATTAAATAGCATCTTAACCAATTCAAAGAAGACAAATGATGGGGTCCGCTTGCCATACGTGGCAATTAAGGCAAGTATCGAACCTATAAGACAATGTATGGGGGTTAGGGGAGTATGTTCCGAAGTGGACTTAATGTACTGTAGTGTAATGAAGAAGGTTAACTATAAATTGATTACTAAGTATTAAATGTCATCATCAAACACGTAAAAAGTGTTAAGGCCTTTTCTAGATTAGGATTGGTGACCAAAGCATTACAGCAACAGATCCATAACGGGTATTTCTCGTCATTTATCAGTGTATTTAGGTCAATTTTCTCCTGTGTTTATTTTGCCGTTTATCAGAAGCCATGCGATTTTTGTACTTTCCCAAGTCGACGCTCCCGATACCTACTACTTAGTTATTCATTTGTCACTAAATTTTGCCTCGTATATCTTAGAGTTAAATATGGGAAATAGGCGCGTGTGACGTCAAGCGTGGTGGTTATGGCACGTGCTTCCTGCATTAAGAGCGGCCCATGTTCAGGTTAGGACTCTTACGGACTGATGGAGAACAGTGGAAGAGGTAAATATTTAAAACAGAGCCGATAAGAAAAGAAGTTGTCATCATGCATCTACGAAAAAATCTTTACGATCATTTCACAGTAATATGTACAAACCTTTACAGTTAAAAAATAATAATTTCGATACTAATTTACAACACACATAATTTCCTCATCTGTTCTATTTTCAACCGACTTAAAAAAGGAGGAGGTTCTCAATTCGTCGGAATCTTTTTTTAATTTTTATGTATGTTCACCGATTACTCGAAGACGCCGGTACCGATTTGCAAATTCTTTTTTGTTTCATAGTGTATACTACCTAGGTGCTTCCATTAAAAATTTTTCGAAATCGGTCCAGCGGTATTAAAAAATCAACAATAAATGATGTTATCTCAATTGAAGTCGGTTGTACAAATTTTTTTTTATTTAACAGCTTGTAACTGAAGTGCTATTAACAAAAATGTTTATTTGTGTGTAATGCTATTATCGCCTGCCTACCTTTATTTCAATTTCATAATGATGTCATTTTATTATAATGAGTATTAATTATATTATTTTACTCTCAAAATAAATTTATAGTTAATAGAAATAAATATAATACTATGTAAAGCTATTATATATTTGCATATTCATATTTTCAAAAGTGCAGATGGAAATGTTGTATAAGGAAGTTAATTTAGCTGATAATACTATGTTATTTATTTAAATTCAATCCATAATAATTTACAATATAGAAGAAAAGTATGTAACAGATGTGGTTTTATTAAACAATCCTTCAGTAACCTTGACGTGGTTTGTTCTCGTTATTCTCTACTCTGTGGTTCTCCCAACCAACAACAGTAGTTGCCATTATCGGTCAATTTGTTTCGCATTACGAATTACTGGAATAATGAGTTTTATTTTTCAGTTTTGGTCACAGTTTATCTTGTCTTAAATGTTGCCGTAGAATTATTATCTTGAGGCAGAGGCAGTAGTAGTATTGATAAGAAATGGGATTAGAAATGGCGTCTCACCGAGCCTGTACCGTCAACATGCACAGTACCAATAGCGTAAACCCTCTAATAACGGTATATCGTTATGTTATTCCGTTAAGTGAAAATTATCTCTTAATGGGAAAATATTAATTTTATAATAACATTTATCTAGCGACCTGCTCAGGCTTTGCCGTGGTGGGATCTATTATTATCGTGTTATTTAGACTTGAAGATAATTAATAAAAAAAAAACATTTATGTTCTCTTATATTATTTCTATTTTAAGATAATTGATAGAATTAGACGTTACTTTGCGGAAATCCATAAAGATATTAATAGTTATTTTGCAACCATCCGCTAAATGAATTGAAGTGATGTGTCTTCCCTAGTTTGAAGAGCACCTCCCGCCCTCCCTCAATTGCGTGCACTAATTCCGTTACCACCAATCCCAGCACCACTATTCTAGGAAAGACACACCATCGACGATAATACGACACGTGTTTCGCCTCTACAAGTGGGGACCGGTAAGTCTTAGCGATCAGCCGCCGTAGAGTCAACACCACCTGAAGATGCCTCGTGTAGAGGCGAAACACGTCATATTATCGTCGATAGTGTGTCTTTCCTAGAATAGTGGCGTTGGCAGTAGTGCTGGGATTGGTGGTGACAGGATTAGTGCACGCAATTGAGGGAGGGCGGGAGGTGCTCTTCAAACTTGGTAAGACACATCACTTCAATTCATTAAGCGGATGGTTGCAAAATAACTATTAATATCTGTATTATTTCTATTTTAAGAAAATGTAAATTTTTCAGATAAAATTTAGTGTAGATCACTCCTGATATTACTCTATTTGTTCGTGAAGTTTTATTACAATCGATTTAGCCATTCCGAAGATAGATCGGACAGACAGACAAACGAACATTTAAAATATGGTTACTAATGTCTCATTGGCATGTAAATATTTTATATAAAAATATTAAATAAAATGAACAATAATTACGAAAAAACACAGAACGCGTTACAAATTAGCAAAGCGAGACCGATTTTTTTGTAGTTTATGGCGTTTTTTACCTACCTATTACTCTATTTGTTCGTGAAGTTTTATTACAATCGATTCAGCCATTCTGAAGATAGATCGGACAGACAGACAAACGAACATTTAAAATATGGTTACTAATGTCTCATTGGCATGTAAATATTTTATATAAAAATATTAAAGAAAATGAACAATAATTACGAAAAAACTCAGAACGCGTTACAAATTAGCAAAACGAGACTGATTTTTTTGTAGTTTATCGCATTTTGTTATCATTGATTAACGTACAAAATGTGCTTAACGCAACATATTTTTTTGCAGTCTACCGACGTATGTGAGTGTAGATTGCGACAGTGTGCGAGCGAGAGGTGAATAGTGTGGACGCCATATTCACTGCATGGGTAGTAAATAAATAATATATTAAAAAAAAAACATAAAGAACAAGCATTGATCATAAGCTGTGATTATCCTAATAAATTTTATCCTGGTGATCCTGATCAGAAAACTAGGACAGTTATTAAATTACTGTATTATCATAGCTCCTTCAAACGAGTGCAAGTTTTCAAGTCAATCAGCCGTCTACAAGTTGGTGAAAATTACATTTGAAGATTCCGCTACATAGATCGATATATCGGTACATGCGATGCCAATAAAAGCGTGTAAAATACCACTCTAAATAGCGGCGCGTACTCTGCTGTGTTCCGGTCTGGAGGGTCTATATTCCATTAGCAGTATAATTACAGGATATGAGGCATTCCATCTTAGATCTCAAAGGTGATAGCTTGTCTTTGGCCTCATTTACGTGGGACACTCAATAAGTTGAGATATACAAAAAGTATTCTAGATACTATTAATATTTATTTTATATATTTTCGAAATATTCTCCATTATGCTCTATAAAAAGTTCCATTGGCCTAAACCAACTCTGAAAACACTTGCCAGTCTTGATCTGACG